GGGAGAGTCCTCGGGGAGTAAAAACAAAGCGAGAGTCCCCGGGGGAGTCCCCTCCCCAGCCCCAGCCGGGGACCCGGTCGCGTCTGCCCCGGGCGGAGCTCCCTGCCCGTTGCTATAGGCAACCAGCTCCGGTGACCAACTTGTCCCCGGTTTTGGCGCTGGCAGGATGGCGGGCCCGCAGCCCCCCGCCCCCATGACCCTATTCTGCTTCCTGGGGCTCCACCCAGCGTAGACCTGGGAGGCTTTTTAATATCAGGCTTTTTTAACACTACTATTTTTAACATTAGGGTGAAGACACCCCGCCCACCACCGTCCCGACCGGCCCTGCCATGCCCGTTCCTGTGAAATAAGCGCTGCCGCGGGGGCGCGCCCTGCCCGAAGGTAGGGGGGCCGCGGGGGGCGCGCCGTGCCCGGTGCCCTGCCCGGTGGATGGCAGGTTCCAGCCCGGCTTTGGAGCAGTGAGGGCGACTCTGCGCTCCCGTCGGAGCCTTGACAGCAGAGCCCAGTTTGGGAATTTCTCCCACACTCTGGACCCCTCCTCCCCTTGCCTAGGGTTTTGGATATCCAACCAGAACAGCCATTAGCTTAAATTTTCCCATCAGTTGTCTACCATTAAGTTGGGAAAATCTAGATAGAAAGTACCAGAGGTTCCAGACAGAGATGTCCAATCTTTTTCCTTTTCCAATTCAGAAAGCCTCGTGGTGGAACAGCTGTTTAACCCCCTGAAACAGGATGAAAGCTCTACCTAAAAACAAGATATGAAGGGAAGACACCTGTCATTGTGAGACTGGCTTCTGATTAGTCACTGATGTCTTCCCTGGGGTTGACATGACCTTGTGACGATAAACCTCAGTGGCTGCAGTTAAATCACAGAACCAGCGGTTCTTACATTAGTTAGTTCTCTGTCTGGCCTTGGACACCTTTGAGTCACACCGGGAAGGATGAGTATTTCTCATGTGGCCATACTGAGTCAATTCATCACATCGCTATTATTTCCCAAACAACAGGAGGAAATTGGAAATCCAGGTCATGCTCTTATGGGTGACCCCTGGTTTTTCCAATGGGATCAGATTCCATAAGAGATAGAGAAATGGATTTCATGACTTTATTTTCACTTTTTCGGTTACCCTCCCCAAGAAATTGATTGGAAACGGGGAAAGCAAACTGTAGCTTGGTGTGGCCTCTCTAAGGCATAAACAGACGTTCCATTTGGGGAGGAATCAGAGATGTACATGGAGGATAGGTAGATTGAAGTCTCCAGGGTGGATATACGTTTTATGTGTGACTAGCTGTGTCTTCTTGGTAGATGAAAACAGTACGGCACTCGGAACAGACACTTAGAACAGCTCTCATCTCAAAGAACCCAGCGCTTGTTGCCCAGTATGAGAAGCTCGATGCTGCAGAACGGCGTCTGATGAACGAAGCTTTCCAGCCAGCCAGTGGTCTCTTCGCACCCATTTCCTTGCATTCTCAATCGGATTGGATCGCCTCCCATCCTGAGCCTCCCCAAGACTTTGAACAGTTTTTCAGCGATCCTACCAGAAAGACACCCTCCCCAGAGAAACACATTATTTATATCCAGTGCATTGGTATATATTGTAATGTGCCAGATTTGGTTTGCTTGTGCAGTTGGTGCCGTTGCCTGCGATCGTTTGGGCTGTTGATCTAATCCAGTGGTGGAAGCTTTTAGCCAAACTGCCTTAAAAGGGGGGCATTTTTATTTCTTTTTAATTCATGTTCATATTAATGAATGATAAAGGTGTTTTGAAAGTTTAGAGTTGGTTTGTTGCTAATTCCAAATTTATAATTATAGACAGGCAAAGACTGACCATTTTAATTGTCCTAACGTCTGTCTTTAAATTTTCTTCCATGTTGTAGGATCTCTGGGAAACACCACAGTTATCAGTGAAGAGTACGTTAAGTGGCTCAAGGGCTACTGTGAAGCATTTTTCTACGGCTTGACAGTAAAACTCCTAGAACCGGTTCCCGTCTCTGCAACGGGGTGCTCCTTTAGAATCAATGATAACACAAAGAACCTACAGATACATGCAGGTGAATCAGGCAGCTTTACAGTTTTAACCGAATAAAGGGTGTGGAGATATATGTGTGTGTGTGTGTGTGTGTGTACATAACACATGTGTGTATCTTTTTGAATAGGGCACATCCTGAAGTTCTTAAAACTGAAGAAACCTGAAGATGCCTTCTGTATTGTGGGGATAACAATGATCGATCTTTACCCCAGGGACTCCTGGAATTTTGTCTTTGGACAGGCCTCTTTGACAGACGGTACTCCTTTTTGGCATTGTTTGTAGAAACTTTTTGAGAATATTTGAAGATGTTGAAAGAGGGAAAAGCTCCACTATAATTTTGCTACTTAACACTGTATGTTTCCGGTGCAGCATTGTGCTGTCCGGGACATGTGCTGTTGATACATTCCCCTGGTCTGAGTTCTTCCCCAGGTTGGCTGTTCACTACCTGTATGACCTTGAAGTGAGTAATACCTACTTTGCGGGGTCATTTTGAGATAATTTATATGGAAGTGCCAATGCATAAAAAGTGTATATATATGCCTGGCACATACACAGGCACTCAGAGCAACAGATGGGAAATGTAAGTAATTTGGTAGCAAGGTGAATTACATAAATTAAGGATATTTGAACTGCCATTAGCGTAACTGCAAATCTTGCTAATTGTTTTTTAACTCTTTGTAGTCATCTTGCATAGATGGAATAGCCATGGGCTGCTTTATAAGTGTATGCTTATCCCGTGTCTTATTTTATTTTAAAAGAAAATAATGTTATTTTAAAAAGTAAACTTCAGGCTTTGATTTGAGATGTAATAAACTTTGACTCATTAGGAACCCTGCATGGTAATATTGGGGGTGGGAAAGGATCCAGAAGAAAATAATATTTTTGTCTTCCCTTCTCTTTTCCCACATGTCCTTTTTTTTTTTTTTAAATCCTCGGTCCAGAATATGTTTATTGATTTTAGAGAGAGGGAGGGAGAGACAGACAGAGACAGAGACAGACAGAGACAGAGACATCGATCAGTCACCTCCCGTATGTGCCCGGCCTAGGGATCGAATCCACAACCTTTTGGTCTACGCAGCGACACTCCAACCAACTGAACCACCCGGCCAGTGCCCATATGTCCATTTTTGCTCTATTTCTCTATCTTTATCTCCAGGGTCTGAGACTGTTTGAAGGGGAAAGGACCAGGGAAATAAGGGGAGTGGCTATCTATCTGTATTCTGGATTTGGGTTGGTGAGTAGGTACCAGGGCCTATAATTTATGAGTACCAAGTTTATGGACTGTTTGGATGACACATTAGCTTTTCTCTCTGACAGATTTTCCTATTAGATATCTCCTTCTCTAACCCATTCATCAGAGGTAGGGGCGCAGGGAACTACCCCTTTATCCTCAGTACTCTATTACATTCTTATACACCCCCCATGACCCCAGTACACTCTCTTGGAGACTCAGGTCACTGCTGTGTTCCCAAGTTCTGTATCAGCTACTTTTCTATCCAATATAAACTTGTATCAGCTAAATTTTTTACCTTCCCTTTTATTTTTAACCTGGTAGAGATGGAAACATTTTTAAAAATTAAAACTGTTTATGTAGCTATTGCTAGCTAATTTATCTGGTACATTTGAGGAGGTCAGGAAGCATTCCTCCAAAATGTTCCTACTTTAATTTTTTTTAAGTCTCTTAAATATTCCATCACATAGGAGAACTAGTTGTAAGCTAGCAGCGTTGATCTGCCAGGCAGCGAAACAGTATCCTACAGGTCACTATTCTCTCCGGTTTACAAAGGATCGTGTTTTAAATTGAGAAATACTTAATTACAAAGAAAATAGTCTTGTAGTTGTAGAATTATTAGAATTCTTACTAAAGATATTTAGTGAAATATGTCCACACTTCTTTGGCCAGAGGAGGTTACTTGTTCATGTGAGTGGATTCCATTTTTTTTCTTAACTTCCAAAATGTTGTCTTCTCCCTAAATTTCAAATACTAGTGGACACTTTCCAAGGGTGGGACAAGGAAGGTTCTTTTTTGGGCAGACTTACTATGAAATCATTTCTGTAACCAAATCGCCCCTTACAGCTTTCAAATAAGAACGGAAAGAGAGGCATAAATAAAAGTGGTAATGTAAACAAGTCGAGTTATAAAGCAGTCCCTGCTAGAGTGGGTTGAAAATCGCACTCTGCCTCCATGTGTGTGAAGGCGGCTTAGACGAGCCTGAGACCTGACACAGGAAGCCAGTTACGAGAGGGCTTATTCTGGTCACCCGACTCCAGCGGCGTAATAGAGCT